AACTACTGTGTACCCCTGGGTTAAGTGCAAACGAATTATGGACATCGGGGGAGGAGAGGGTCAATTCTTGTCTCAAATTCTCAAAGTTCCAGGCTGTGAACATATTAAAGGAGTATTACTTGACTTTCCCGATGTAGTCGAGCGAGCGAAATTGTTCCTAACCAGAGAAAATATAGCAGACAACAGAGTGACTTTACTGAAAGGAGACATCTTGGATGGCATTCCGAACTGCAAAGAGGTAGATACAATCATTGTCAAAAATTTCCTTGTAACTTTTACAGAAGACGGGATGGTGAAAGTTTTGAAAAACTGTCGTCAAGTTCTTGCTAGAAGTGGCAGATTTATTATCGTTAACAGTTGCAACCCTGAAGCCAGAGATACGGAGCATAATGTTACCAAAACTGGTCTACAGCAAGGCTTTCGTGGCATACACATCATGACGATGAGTAAGATGGGACATTTTAGAACGAAGAGTGAGTGGCTGAACTTGATTGACAGGTTGTGCAGTAGGGTGGCTTTTCAACTGAACGCAGTCTATCAGACCGGAGATGGTCCTACATTGTTTGAACTGTTAAAATGCGAATAGATGATCGTTTTTGTTTTTGGCAACACAAGAGTTGATGCTTTAAGGTTTGTCGTTTAATCTGCAGTTCTGTTTTTTATTTTTCGATGAAAAAAAAATTAACATACATTTCTTTTTCATGTGTTTTCACTTAAACCGAAAGAATGATGTGATATTTTTACTCAGGGAACACTTAGGCAGTCATAAATTAGAGGAGGGTGAAAATACAACTTAACGATGGCGGATGATGTGAAAGTGCTTTGAAAAATAGAAAGTTGATTTTTACAAGATTTCTCTGAATACTAATGGTTGATAAGAAATCTGCTTTCTTTCTGGAGGACACCGTGTGAGACGAAAGACATTCTTCCATTCCAGGTAGAGTTACAGTCCTGCAATAATTTTCCATAACATGTTTATTTTCCAAGTACTTTCTACCCCTATACCGTTAAAAAGAATTCATATTAGAAATTGATCTAAAGTATCTCCAAGTATTTTTTTTCTTATTTGCAGCTAAATTTTATACCATGATATGGCTTTGGTCGGTTTGTAGGAGTAAAAAAAAAATGCTAGATTGTAACGGGTTTTTTTTTAACCAGACCATAGGACTTACTGCGAATGTTTTATTTTCGGATGATTTTGTACCATTAACACGTGCATGTACGAGTAAGAAAATTGCTTGGTCTAAGTATTATCAGTTTTTATTAGTTCG